CCATAGCTCCTTGGAGGTCTGACACACTCCTTCTGAATTCCAAAATCTCCTTGAGGGAATCTTATATTGCCCAGTAACTCTTTCAAAGACTCCCTTGCAGCTAGGCCACCACCATGTGACCTTGAATCTTCCAATGAGACACAACTATAGAATGGTGTAAAGACTGCTTATAGACTCATCCTGCAGACTCCAGCTTGCCCAGGGTAGCAAGGGCTCCAGTAGTTACTCACTGACCAGCAGTGTCAGCACTAGTTTGTGGCCTCTGTTTTTTGATTGTGGCATTGGTCCCTCCACTGGGGCAGAATCCTCCAAACCAGTATTCCTGGTTCCCCACAAAGTTCTAAGTGCTGCTAATATTTCTTGCGTACTAGGCTGACCCCAAGCTCTCTCTTAACCTTGAACTTTTGAAAAGTAGTAGACCTCCACTTTTCCAGTTCTGGAATTACTGGTGTGTTGTCGCACCTGCTGTGCGGCCTGCATCCGAGAATGTAGCGAGGTGGTCGGGATAGATGACACAGAGACCGGTCGGTTGCTTTAAGAAAACTTTATCTTCCCAAGTCAGCTTAGGAGAGAGCTCTCAGAAGAAATCTCAGGAGAAGTCTCCCCAAGAAAAAAGGGCTTCCCTTTTTAAGGACTTTTGCCATCCATTTACATACCATTCTTTCCACTTCTCACCCTCCTGGCTGGTGGTTTAATCTCCGGCCCCAGAATCGGGGAGACACCACAGGGGGCAGGAAGAGGCATCTAGCCATAGGAGGTGTGGAAGGCATGGTATTTCAGTGAGCCAGCCTTTATCTGAGCCCTATCAAGCTTTAAAGCACTGAATTGTTTTCAGTAAACATTACATAGATGCCTGCTCCCAGGCCGAAGGGGAAGTGGGTTTCTGCTCAAGGTCTGGTGTCCCCACAGTGTGTGTCACCACACTTGGTTCATTTGGTCCTGGGAACAAAACTCAGGACTTCAAGCAGGCTAGGGAGGTTTACAGCTTTATGTCTTGTTAATATATTTTTAAAACATCCTTTCTTGAAATGACAGACTATGGACACCCCCCCATGGAGGGCTTCACCCCCTCCCCCGAAAGGAGTGGAGATTGGGGGAGGAGGGAGGAGGTGTTGGTGGAAGGGCATGGGAGGAGGGGAGGGAGCAGGAGGGGGAGCTGGGATTGACATGTGAAGCAACCTTGTATCTAATTTAAATATTTTTTAAAAAGACAAAAAAAGCCTTTCTTCTTCAAGATAAGTAGTGAGTTTTACTGCTTTTCACTAGAATTCTAATCAGTACAGTGATTATGTAACAAGAGTTAGGAGTTTGGACTTGACCTGGAACCCAACAGCTTTCAATGGATATGGTGGGGGGCTTGCAATTTGGCGGGGCTTCCTTAGGGCAAAGTGTTAAGCTTCCAGATAACTATAAGAAGAAGAAAGGCTGAGAGGATAACAATAATAACAGTTTCACAGTTACCAGTGTATGTTACTTGCCAGACACCATGTGACAATTGTGTTTTCCAAAATGGCCAGAACAGAATCTCCTCCCCATCTCCACCACTACCCAGACTGCTGTTCTCGTGGTCCCAGGAGCAGCAGTCTACATCAGTTCTGGACATATCCAGTCTACAGAGGCGAGTGCTGCGCCTGGCCTTCGTCTTCATTAGCGGTGAGGGGATATATGTACAGAGTTGTCTTGGCTGACCACGGACTCTGGGGGATCCTAAAATCTGCTTTGCTTCTTCCTATAGCAGCAAACCTTGACCTGGGTGCCCATTGCACAGCCTGAAAAGCCATCAAGCTGAGAAGCCTTTTATATGTGCATTATATTTCAATTAAAAGTTAATTTCAGAAATGACAGTAGTTCCCCATTATGTGAGGGGGACACATCCCAAGATCCCCAATGGATGTCTGAAACCTTGGATAGGACCCAAACCTATAGGTATTGTTTTTCCCTACAGATAACTATGATGGAGTCATATATTGTACTGAATATATGTACTGAATAGAACATTGCATTGTATTATTGTAGAATATATTGTGCTGGAAGGTATGTGAATGTGTTCTCTCTGTGTCTGTGTCTCTGTCTGTGTCTCTCTGTCTCTCTCCGTCTCTGTGTCTGTGTCTGTGTGTGTGTGTGTGTGTGTGTGTGTCCGTGTCCTGGGATTTTCCAGGCAACATTTTCAGTCAGTGTGAGGGCACTGGGGCACTGCACACAGCCTACATGCCCCCGTAATGAAAGCCCCTTGAGTTTCAGAATCTGGGAGTGGGACACGCTGTCCTCAGCTCTACCCACTCTCGGAATCAGCAAGTTCATCTTCAGCTTGGTGGCATCTGTCCTCACCTGGTTGTGGCGGGTCTCTCTCTGGTCCACCGAGGCTAGATGCAGGTACAGAGTAGGTTAAGCGTGGCCAGGCAGTACTAGCCTGTCGGATGCACCGAGTCCACTAGCTAAGAACCTGGGCAAGGAGATATATTTGTCTCCCAGGCGGGCTCCTGAGACCTGGCCAACATCTCACCCCTCTCGGATGACTTTTCCAGGGTCAGCCTATTATGAACGAATCCTGACTAATTCGGTCACCCTCCCATTTCTCAGGCATGATTTGTGGCTTAATTACAGCAGGAAAAAAAAGTAATGAGAACTGCACAACCCGGGTTATATCCACAATTCATAACTGCAATAAAACCCTGGACGTGCTGTCGTGACTTATGGCAGTCTGAGTAGTGTGCTCACTGGGACGGGTGGGGGGCCCAGATGTTTCCGCTGCAGAGTGTCGCCAAGTTCACAGGCTGGAGGGACTTAGGTTTCCAACTTGGTGGCAGAGCGTTGCTTTGGTTAAGGGCAAAACCCAAAGGTTTGAGGGCCCTGGGAAAATCTACCCTTAAGAAACAAGATGTGCTGATGGCTCAGAGACAGGAGGAGGGGGGAGAGGAGGAGGAAGAGGAGGAGGAGATGAGGAAGGAGAAGGAGAAGAAGTATTGATTTCAGGATCAGGGAAGATGGTTCAATTGGTAAAGTGTTTGCATTGCAAACATGAGGATCTGGGTTCAGATCCCCAATACCCAGGTAAAAAACTAGGTATCATATAGCATGTCTATAATCCTAGTGCGGGAGAGACTGAAGCTCACTGGACAGCCAGCTTGCTGAATCAGTGAGTTTCAGGTCCAGTGAGATGAGACCCCCGTGTCAAAAGAAAAATAAAAATTAGAAAACAATTGAGAAAGACACCTAACGTTAACCTCTGGCCCCTGCACACATGCATCTACATGAATTTGTGCACGCACACACACACACATACACACACAGTGTGCTGCCCCGTAGGGTCAACTTGCACAGTCGTCACGGGGTCCATCCTTCTGGCTGTTTGTAGAAAAGTTCCCTGAGTAGGCATGGAGAGATGGCTCAGCAGTTAAGAGAAAAGTCCCCTGAGGTTGGCCGTGGCAGAAGGTTCGTTTTCACAGTGGTCCTTGGCAGCAATAGCTAAAGGGAAGCCAGGGAAATTTCTAGCATGCAGGCTCCTTGAAATCAGAGCCATTGGGTCCTGTCTCTGCCCACACTCTGGCTCATGACTAGAGTGGTGCCAGGATCCGGGCTACTAAAAGCGGTCTGGTACACTGGACCCCACACAGACAGGTGTGGGACAGCACCTGCCCCTGACTGTGATACCTCCTGGCCAGGGTGATGGCCTGGCCCTGGGGGTGTTGTGATCTCCACACACAGCAGTGAGTATCTTCTGGAGCTCGCCCTCTGCTCTGCTCGGGGCTATTTAGAGTAATATGGTGGAAGGGTAATCAAAGAAGCTGGGGTCAGAGGAGCCAGGGGCAGGAAGAGGCTGAGAGGGGGTGCCGGGGCAGGAAGAGGCTGGGATAGGGGGTGCCAGGGGCAGGATGTATATTTGAAGGCAAGTGCTAAGGCAGAACCAGCCCAACCCCACCCTCTGGGCACCAGCTTGTTAAGCCCATGTGTTTCTCCCTCACTCGTCTGTGTTCATCCTCTCCAGGCAGACTGAGGTCTCACGCCTTCCGCATCCCTTCAGGCTGCAATGGTGGTGTCTGGAATGGTGAGACGTGCATTCCCATAGAATCCTTTGCTTTGCTTTGTTTTGCTTTGTTTGAAACTGGGTCTCTTGTAGCCCAAATTGGCCTTGAATTTGCTATGTAGCTTCACTCCCTGACTCTTCAGCTCTACCTCCCGAATGGCTGGAGTTCCAGCTGTGCACCACCCACCGCACCTGCTTTTAGACAGCACCAGGGTTCAAAGCCAGGCCTTTGTGTGCGCTGGACCAGTGCTCTGCCAGCCGAACCACATCTCTACTCCCTACCACGGCTTTTTAGCATAGCCCTTACCTACGAGCCTGCTGGCCTCCCTGTTTGAACCAATACACCCTGGGGGCTGGGCTCAAGGGAAGACGCCATAGCCTCAGCCATGAAGAGCGACGGACCACATCCCCAAAGTTCAGTTCTTTTCGCACTTGCCATGAAGGAGTGGGGGCTGAGTTAGGACCCTCTGACAAGCACAAGAGACGTCACCACAAGCTCAGGCATCCCAGAACATTCCAAGCACCCCCTCTATGAGTCCAAGGACACGGCAGCCCTGAGCTGGCCCTCCCGCTAGCAGCCACAGGCGGCACTTCTGCAGGACACATCAACACCCTCTTGGTGTTCTGGCCATGGCCAGCTCCGAGGTGAGCAGGAAGTCGCAGCAGCCCACACTTACTGAGTCTTCCAGATCTTGAGGTGGGACAGTCTAATTTAGGGGAGCTCAGAGGCAGGGCAATGGGGACACAGGGCTACCAAGAGAATGAACAATTAATCTCACATCAGGAAGCCCTGGAAATACAGCAGCTGGCAGTACAGGAAATAGATGTCCCGGGACGTCCCGGACAGGGACGAGCACTATGTCATGGGTATTTGAAGGATGGTCATTAAAGGCCTGTCCCAGCTTCCACCCAATCACCAGAGCACCCCACCCCGTCCAGACCCAGTCCAAGTCATGAATTCTGCTTCTAACTTTAGACACTGCTGAGGACTTGGGGTACAGTCATAGAACACTTGCTTGCTATACACAAGGCAGAGACCCAGACCCCACCTGCTTCAACCGGATCCAGCTAGCCAGGTAGGCACCTCTCAAGCCTTCCCATATTCTGCCTGAAACCAACCTTGGGACCCTCTGGCCTGAGACTTGTGGCCCGTAAACACCTGTGGCAGGAAACTCACCACAGGACCCAACAGCCTCTGCTTAGGAGACAAGTTCAGGACCCAGAGTCTTCTTCCTCCTCAGTGAGGGATTCCAAATGCCCAAATGGTAAAAGGCCGGCAAGGAGTGCTCTTCTGTCGTCGCTGACAGGGAGGTGTTTGTGGATCCCGCTGCCCTGCTCTTGCCAATGGTGGCAGCTACCAACATGGCCCGCCTCCTCCAGAAGGTCAAGGGCTGTCCCAGCAGCCCAGCCCTTTCCAGAGTTTAGGTCCAGATCCCTAAGGGCTTCTTAATTTTCACCCCCCCCACACACACCCTGTCCCGGGGTGTTTTCTGCCCTAGTAGCTAGCATTTGAGTCCTAAAGGTATACATGACCTTGAGTGGACCTTTGACATTCAGAGCCTGCTTACTGGAGCATTGGGAGACGGTGGAGGGGCTGATGCATCTTCAGGGTGTGCTCTTGAGTGGGTGGGAAGCACCCAGCATGGAGCTGCCCCACAGAGGGGCTCAATCATGGGCTCCCCCATCAGAGCTGGGCACCCAATGGGCAAAGGCACCATCTTTCTCCAGCAGAGCAAGCCAGTGTCTACATCCCATGATGGGTGAGAAGACCCCAAGAGACCCTAAATTCATGGACTGAATTTGCCTTCATACCAATGACATTTCAAAATACATATTCTTACTGTTTTGTGACTAATGGGCCAGAGTGGTCCCCTAGAGGTCCAACTAGTGTCTCTAGCATGCCAGCTTCTCCCAACAGATTTTTCCCAGCAAACTAAAACAAGGGGGAGTGCTGGCCTTGGAGATACTGGGGATGTGAAACTATGCAGTGTGACTTCTGCAAGTGTCTTGGCATCTCTGTGCCTCCGTGTCTGCTTTTGTAATGTAAGGAGGAGGTTCTGATTCTTTGCGAGGGACTTGCAAAGATTTGGAGAGCCTAGGAGGTCTGCCATCTACCTGGACTGAGACAGTGCACCTCCTGGAGTGTGGGGGTTCAGTAGGAGCCTCTCCTGAGGACCCCAGAGCCAGGCCAGGCCCCTACGCATCACTAGAGACAATGGTACTGCTGGCCTCTGCCTCCTCAGGCCTAGACATGAGGCCGAGCTCTGGGATCCTGCTGGAGCTGGGGGCTGGTGTTCTCTTTAATTTTCCTCTGCTCTGAGACTTCTGTCAGGCTTGCAGCTGCCTGCCCCACACCTAGGACCCCTCCTCAGGCCTCCTTGTCTCCTCTTTGGTCTCTGCAAGGGACAGAAGATACTGGCTCGGTACTCATCGCGGGCATCTCTCCAGGTGGGCCCGGCTAAGGTCATCCAGAGGCCTGGGAGAGAAAGGGTTCACTGGCGTGCTGAGAACACATACATGCGGGGCACCGGCCTGAAAGGAGCTTATCCTTCCCAAAGGTCCTGGAAGGGAAGGTTGGTCCTCACAGGCTCACAGACAGATGTAGAGGAGAGGGCTTGGGAGCTGCCAGATGAGACAGGCATGCTCACTGTGAGCAGTGGCCATGCCCAACACTGTCTGACCGGAGAGCCTAAGCTCTAATCCATCACCACCTATCATCCCATGGGCAGCTAGAGGTGACCTTTGTGCCCAAGGCTTCTAGGGCCCCTCAGGGTTGGAGAAGGGGATGTCCCCACAGGCCTCTTCTAAGGGCTAAGCTGAGACTCCCTCCAGATAAAGAGGAATACTCACACAGATGGGTAGGGAAGGCGACTTCTCCATGGTCAACACAAGTCACCTAGAGAAGAGTGACGGGGACTAAGTAGCCCCTGAGCCCTAAGTATCCTGTTTCCTCCCCACCAGAAGACACTCTCTACTGCCCTCTGAGAATTCTCTATGCCAGGCGATGGGCTGAGACCCTGCATGAGTGCAAGGTGCCTATAAGTGCCCATATTTATCAGCATGAGATGGAGAGATGGCTCCACACCCCCACTTACATAGGAAATCACTAAGGTACACAAGGAACCCAGTCCCCAAAACGCTTTGTCTTTTGCAAAGTGTATATACACGTGGGTTGAGTACCTCTTTCTAAAATGCTCAGGACAGCCAAAAAATGGTTTAACCAAAGGCACTTGTCATCCTTGCCTAAGCTTATCCCTGGAACCCACATAAAAATGGGAGGGAAAAAACCAACTCCTCAGAGTTGTACACACACACACACACACACACACACACACCATGTACACACAGGCATACACACCATGTACACACAGGCATACACATCATGCACACACACACACACACACACACACACACACACCATGAACACAAGAACAATATAATTTTTTTGGTTTTTCAAGACAGGGTTTCTCTGTATTGCTTTGAAGGCTGTCCTGGCATTCACTCTGTAGGCCAGGCTGGCCTCAAACTCACAGAGATCTACCTGAGTGCTGGGATTAAAGGTGTGTGTCACCAATGCCCAGCTAATATAATATTTTTATTTGCATAAAATACCTAGGGCCAGAACTTCTTCCAGAAGTTTTTCAGAATTTTGTAATCTACATAAACATGAGACACACATCTTGGAGATGGCATTCAAGTGAACCATGCACTCTGTTTGTTTCAAATGCACTTTAGACCCCAAGGATGCTTCAATGCAGTATTTTGAATAATTTTGTTCATAAACCATATTGCTAGACATTGAGCTATATGACTCTGTGTTGGGGAAGTCCTGTGCATTTGTCAATAAAGCACTGTTTGGCCAATAGGGAATCTAGATAGGAGGGACAAGGAGTCCAGAAGGACTCTGGGTAGGAGAAACACAAGAGAGTTCAAGATGTAACCGCCATGGGGTAGGAGGCCCGGAAATTTCTCCAGTAAGAGACATACTTAGATTAACAATTATGGGGTAATTACTTAAGTCAGAGCTAGCCAGTAAGAAACAAGCAAGGCCAACAGCTTCATAATTAATGCAGCCTCTTGTGTGTTTATTTGGGACTGATGCGGCTCTAGAACCAGGCTGGCAGGAAGGCTTCTCCCAAAGAAAAAGCTTCACTTTACAACTCTGGTGTCAGACTCGTGTGGGAATGGTCTGGATTTGGGGCATCTGGGATTCCAGAGTTTGGGATTAAGGGTGTTCAGCCTGTATGATTGATGCTTCCTCATCACAAGTCCTGAGAGAGAGAGAGAGAGAGAGAGAGAGAGAGAGAGAGAGAGAGAGAGAGAGAGAGAGAGCATGCAATGCCCATGGAAGTCACCAGAGGGCATCAGATTCCCCCTGGAGCTAGCGTTATTGCTGGCTGTGAACTGCTGGGAACAGAACTCGGGTCCTCTAGAAGAGCAGCAACAAGGGCTCTAACCCTCCAGCCTATGCCTGACTTTTTTTTAATTTAAATTTAAATTAGAAACAAGGTTGCTTCACATGTCAATTCCAGGTCCCTCTCCGTTTCCCTCCCCTCCTCCCGTGCCCTCCCACCAACCCCCCCAATATCCCCCATTTCCCCAGGGAGGGTGAGGCTTAATGTAGGCTCTGGGATTGAACTCAGGCCCTCATGCTAGTGTGGCAAATACTTTACTAACTGGACCAACCATCTCCTTAGGCTGAGATAGAGAACAGTTTTAAAATGACAAAATCTTTCTGACTTTCCATGCTGAAGCATAGCAAATGCATTTAAAATGGCAGAAATTACCCACTCTCACGTACTCTTCCACTCTGTGATTTCTTTACCTTTTGTTGAAGAATAGTTAAAGCTATGCAAAGTTCACAGACCTAAGAGCCTGTTATTTCCTGAGCCCTCACATGGAGGTCTAGCCACTAGCTGGCTGGAGCCACGGAGTACCTCAGACCTCCTCAGTGTCCTTGTCTTCCCCACTGTGCAGAACAGCCGGCTCCCTCTGACACTACGGGCAGATGCCGCTTGTTCTAGAACCCCACATAATGCCTTGCTTAATCCCCCAACCTAGCAGCTGTGAGATTCCTTCACACAACTGCCTGGGCTGCAGCTTCTCCCATGGCACCCTAGGATTTTCTCAGAGGGCATGCCACTGTAAACTCACGGATCTACTGGGGTGTCCGCCTGTGCTTTCATAGATTGAAACCACTGGGAATGAGACGCTGTGGGAATCTTGCCTATTGATGGAGTTCCTGCATCTAACATCTCCAATAATAATTACAGCATGTGTGACATATTTGAATTGTATATTATATAATTAATTAATTAACAGAGCGACTAGTATTGATAAATGAGGGACTGGGGAGGTGGCTCAGTAAGTAAGAACATTTGCTCTGCTGACACAAAGGTCTGAGTCCAAACACACAGTACTCATATAAAAACAAGAAGTCAGCCATGGCTGTGCCCACCTGTCACACCGGGATTGGGGGATGGAGATGGGTGCATCCAAAATGGGGAGCTTCCATACAGCAAGAGACCCTGTCGTGGGGTAATAAGGCATAGAGTTATAGGAGAAGGCACCTGACATCCTGCTCTGGCCTCTGTATGTACAGGCATGGGTGTAGACACACACACACTCACATGTGTGCAACATGCTCTAATGTGTAATATAGATGATACACACACACATATTCTTTGGAATTTTAGTTTTGTGTTACAGTCTTGTTTAGTGTTGTGTAGTTGGCATTTAAAACACACCACCATTACAACCCTATCCTAGTCATACTGCCTGAGGACCCTATATATGATCGTCACTGGCTTTCCTTTCCCGTTTTATAGATGGAAAAGCTGAGACTGAAGGGAAGCAGTGAAGCCAGGACCCAATTAAAGAGGCTCGGTGTGAGAAAGAAAAAGCCCAAGATAGAAGCAGCACTCAGGAAGCTCTTCAGGAAGACGACAGTGCCACGTACAAACGCTAAATGAAGCCTGGAACTGGACCCTGAGCACAGGACTTAAAGAGATGCTATCCCTCCCTTGGCCACTAGGCGGTGGCAGAGCAGCGTCCAAGGCTGCCCGTAAACAGCTGGCTCAGCAGGTAGCAGCCAGGAGACAAACCAGGCCTGTGAGCGAGATTTCTGGAAAAGACAAGGTAGGAGCAGACTCTGGCCGAGGATCAGAAACTTTTCAGAAGACCGACTCCTTTGTGCCTCCGCGTACTGAGTATTCTAAATCACCTGAGCTCCCTGCGTGTACCTGACCTCATGCGGAGGCCCAAAAGACAAATGAGAAGAGGAAGACAGGATGAGGCAACATGAGAGAGGGCGGGCCCCCGCTGCTCCCCTCCCCCTCCACAAACAAAGAAGCATCCAGAAGAAGCCAGGCCCCCAGATCTCCCACCTGCATCTCCCTGCCCAGCCCCTGACCAGGGACATTTTCCAGAGTCACTCGAGTCCCCAGTGAAACACAGGGATGAAGAGTGTGGCTTACCTCCCTTAGACATGTTTATGCCTAGGGTCGCAGGAAGACACTAAAAGAGATTTGAGACAAAAGCCACAGCGACGTCAAGAGCACTTGAGGGAGTTGGGATGGGAGGGCACACCTGCAGTCCCAGATGTGGAGAAGCTGCTGAAGGCTAGCCTCGGCTACCTAGTGAGCTCCAGGCCACCTTGAAGGGCTGCATGTCCTCACCCTCACTGGTCCAGCTGGCTTAAGACCCAGTGGCATGGCCCCCTTTCTGAACCTCTGTCTATTGCCAGTCTGGGACTCCTGAGAACCTCTACCTAAGCCATCCCCAGCATTCTTCTGCATCTGTCCTGGGCTCAGTGCAGATCTCTAGCTCAGCGGACCTAGAACTTCATTCAGTTCCTGGTCATCTTTTGCTGCGTGGTGAGTTCAAGGACAGTCTGGGCTATGTGGAATCCTGTCTCAAAAACAAAACAAAGAATGGTGACCACACCTCATTCTGAAGAGCAAAATAAATTCCAGATGAACCCAATGTGTATATGTTAAAAATCCTTCCAATGTTTTTTTTAAAAAACCACAGCGTGCTTACATACAACTTCAAAAACGGCGAAGTCCTCTCTCTAAGGGTAGTTACTCAATGTAAAGGATCGCTGGTGTCTCACAAATTGTGTGTGCATTCATGTGTAAGTGCCCATATGTGCATTCATGTTTGGGGGTCAGAGGACAACTTCCACGGTTTTTTGCTGTTTTGAGTTGGTCTCACCGTGTGTCCATGGATACTCTGAAAATCACTGGTCTTGAAATCACAGAGCTCCACTTGTTTCTGCTCCCCAGTGCTGGGAAACAGGCATATGCCACCATGCCTGGCTCAGCTGTCATTCTATAGGCACTGTTGATGTTGTTGGCTTTGCTTTTGGAAGCAGGATCTCTCACTGTCCTGGAAATCACAAGCAGGGTAGCCTGGCCAGCCAAGGAGTCCCAAGGGCCTACCTGTCTGTCTCTGTCCCCAAGGGCCTACCTGTCTGTCTCTGTCCCCAAGGGCCTACCTGTCTGTCCCTGTCCCCAAGGGCCTACCTGTCTGTCCCTGTCCCCAAGGGCCTACCTGTCTGTCTCTGTCCCCAAGGGCCTACCTGTCTGTCTCTGTCCCCAAGGGCCTACCTGTCTGTCTCTGTCCCCAAGGGCCTACCTGTCTGTCTCTGTCCCCAAGGGCCTACCTGTCTGTCTCTGTCCCCAAGGGCCTACCTGTCTGTCTCTGTCCCCAAGGGCCTACCTGTCTGTCTCTGTCCCCAAGGGCCTACCTGTCTGTCTCTGTCCCCAAGGGCCTACCTGTCTGTCTCTGTCCCCCAGTGCTGGGATTACAAATGTGTGTCACCACATCTGACATGTGTGAAGATTCTAAGGATCAAACTCAGGTCTTCATGCTTACGAGGCAAACTGCCTGAGCCCCTTCGATATCCCTTCACAAATAAACTGGAAAATTGAACTGGAAAAAGTGACGTCAAAAGTCAGCCAGCAAATGGGGAGGGTATTCACAAAATTCACATCAGGGATATAGAAACATTTCCTTAATATTGAAAGACACACACACACACACACACACACACACACACACACACACACACACACACGATCCCCAGGCTGACCATGGTGGTGCTTGCCTGTGTCCCAGCCCTTGGGAGGCTGAGACAAGAAGATCTGGGTGAGTTCAAGACTAGCCTGGACACATAACAGCCCTGCCAAAAGAAAGAAAGTTAGGTTCAAGCATGGGTTCAAATCCCAGTCTTATCAGTTATGCTCTGTGTGTCCTTAGCCGAGTTACTTGGTCACTCTAGGTCTTGGATTCTTTGTCTGTGAAGAAAAAAATAAAAGATTCTGCCTCACTGGGTTGATATGAAGATGAATCCATAAAGACCCCTCAGTGTCAACATTATCAGCACCTCACTTTCCCCCACCTGCCCCTCCCACCCTGGCCATCCTGCCTACCCCCACCTGCCCCTCCTGCCTACCCCCACCCTGGCCATCCCACCTACCCCCACCTGCCCCTTCCTGACTGCCCTGCCCGCCCCGCCTGCCAGGGTGCCACCGTGGCCAGGCCTGGATAAGGGTCCCATTCTTTCTTTGACCTCAGACATGGTAGGACCTAAGCCCAGGTCACACTAGGGGAGGTGTCTCCATGTCCAAAGGGGAGGAAACAGGAGAAATAGAGACTTTGACGGATGATAATTGAAGTTCACAGACTTTGTTACCCAAGTCTCTGGAACCAGAAGGTTCTAAACAGTTTTTGTGGAGAGGCAATAGACCAGCAAAGGGCGAAAGGCAGGCCAGACAGCGGAATGGTTCTGGTTACTTGTGCTGTCGAGCATCAGCAACAGTAAAGAGAGCCGTCTGTCCCTGGATTTGGTGTCCTGGGCAGAGAAGGGACCCTAGGTAACTACCAGAGCGGTCAATGACAGGAAGCAGAGAGGAGGGAGGGGAAGCAGAGGCCACCTTCCTGGGTCATAGGATGCCTTCTGGGCCTGCTTTCAAAGGCACCCTGCTTCCCCAGTGAGCCAGGGCCCTACAATGAGGAGACAATGATGGTCTTGATGCAGGATGCTTGGGCATGAGGTATTTGGGGGAACATCAAATTCCAAAGTGGCAACTCAGCAACCTCCTCCTCCTCCCTGAGCCTCAGTTTCTCCTCCAATGAACCTGCCAGGACCCAGAAGCCAAACAGTAGGAGGAAACACTCAATTCCCTGTGAAGCTTGCTGATTCCCAAGGCTGACTCTTGTCCTGAAGTTAGAGGGTCTCAGATATCTGCCCGGGTCGAGTCCTGGGTAGAGGTTCAGGTTCTCCTTAAGGTTCGCACCAGTTGCTGCTCCGGTGCGGTCACGGCTGAGGCCTGCTTGCCCGTGGACAGACCATCCCATTGCTGTGGGTCCGCTCCAGACTAACTGCTCTCCACCCACAGCAGGGGTGAGGCCCACAAAGCACACGACTGCCCACACGAGGAGTCCACCCACAGTCTCTGTCTTCCCGGCGTTTGCCCCAGATAGAACACTGTCAGCCGCATGAACGCACACTCCGACGCCCCGCCCTTTGTTCTCGCTCTAGAGCCCAGTGCAGGACCAGCCCAGGCAACACCGGAAAGAATGCCTGGGCCATGCTTTTGACTAGAAAGAGGGCGGACACCAACACAGAGTAGTGACAGCAATGTCACGGCACCTTGTAGGGACATAGTGAGCCTCTTGGCACTAATGCCACCCTGACAGCTTCACAGTAGAGGCACAATCTGGGTGGGTGAAGAAACAGTTCAAAGGGGTCACGCTGGCTGCCTGGCGTCACATGGTAAGTAAGAGGCAGAGCCTGGAAGGATGTCCAAGGTTTTCAGACACTCTGGCCTGTCTTGGAGCGGATGGGTGTGGAGGAATAGATGCAAACTAATAGGAGGATGGATGGAGGACAATGAACCTAAAGAGACTTTCCCTCAGTAAGTTCCCAGAACAAACGTCCTTCCTCTTCCTCTCCCCATCGCTGCGGAAGCCCCAGCCAGCTATTTTCACTAGGGCTCTAAATGAGACGCCAAATGGGGCTGCTTGAACAGCTAACAGCACAGTGAACAATGGCTGTGCAGGGTAGCACCCCATCCCTGCACATCCTTCCCGCCCCTGCTGCAGAATCCATACGCCCCTACCTCCACCCCGGTGATGGTAAACCTCCTCTTCCCTCCTGACCTCTTCAGGACAATAGGGGTCTCCTGGTGGGAAGGGACCAGAAGTTCTTGGCTCTCCAAATATCTTCCAGTTTCTTTTTTCTTCCATGGGGCAAGCAGGTGACACAACTGAACTTTGGTCTCCCTCTGTGCACAAAGGGCTCAATCATATTTCACAGACTGCAAGGGGGAGCGCTTGTGTGTGCGGAGAGACTTGCACAGGGGAACCGCCATTACTGTCATGTCCTTCTGCCCACATGTGGCCCTGGCCCGAGCACTCTCCAGAGCCTAGGGAATCCTTGTGCCTCCAGCCTCAAAGTATGCGTGGTGGAGGGAGGGCTAGACTAAGCCCATGGAGGGCTCTGGATTCCTCCCCAAGTTCAGAGTCTTCACTGGGTATGGACTTAATGCTGATGCTGGGGAGGAAGTTTTTCCCACTCTAGGACGTGACTAGGAGTGGGGCTGGTCTCATTTTATACACCTTGTCCCCACATGTGCTACAGTGTACACACACACACACACACACACACACACACACACCACACACACACTCCTAGTCATGTGACTATGTTCTTTCTGTTCCCCAGGCAAAGCCACTGCCTGGAACCCTGGAACCTCCAGGAAGGAGTGTGTCAACCAGTCTGGGTGCTCTGACTTGCCTTGAAGGAAGTCACATCTCTACAAAAATGTAGTTTTCAGGGGCCATTTTTCAGCCTGCCAGTCCTGTGGGACAGAAAGACAAGATGCTGAATGCCTTTCCAACATCAGCCAGTGGGAGAAAGAGGATACAGGACCACATGTTGCAACAGACTGCCGGAGTCCAGAGAGTCTGATTTCCATCCTGTCTCTTGAAGATTTGCTTTCTTGAAAATGTTTTCTATTCATCTATATTCATTATACACAGTGATGGGCTTCGTAATGATATTCAGTTAAGTAGATCCTACACCTGGCCTGCATTCACCTGCTGCTCTCCTCCCTAATAGTCTCTTTACCCTCCCCTTTCTGTCTTCTGCATGTGCATGTATACTGATTGATTGATTGATTGATTGACTGGAATTCTAGGTTTCACAGATGAGAAAACTGGCTCATTTCCCTTAGCATGATGATCCCAGCTGGACTCTTTTTTTTTTTAAGCAAATGAATAATTTCATTCCTGTTTATGGCTGAATAAAACCCCGTCGTGTAGGGGCCAGCAAGATCACTTGTCAGGTAATGATCTGAGAGAGGGGACGTGTTGAGAGCATGACACCTGGCCAGCTGACTCGGAATTATCAAGAACTAGGTGCGGGGCTGGGCAACTGTAATCACAATGTCAGTTGTTGGAACAGCTGAGATCAAATGCGATCCCTAAGACTGTTTGGGGTGAATTCAACCAACCACACAGTTGCAGGACTACTTCCCACCCCAAAGGAGGGCCAAGGTGAGCTACACCCCAGCGCTTTCAGTCCAAAGCCTTGTCCACTGAGTCACTCCCTCAAGGGGCAAAGGGAGATGGGGCCAGCCACCATGGCCTCTGCTCCCTCATCCTGCTGAGGGATGGCAGCATCCTTCTGTGGGACTCACAGGAGCATGGCATTCTCCCAGGGACGTCGTGGGCTGCTAGTGGCAGAGCTGGATCCAGAAGTGACAAGGAACTTCTATCATGGAGTTCAGGACACTGAGCGGGAGACCTGTTAGGAAAGAGCCGGCAGCTCGCTCCATGGTGCTCTGGGAAGAGCACCATGAGGGTCTAGGGACAAAGCAAGGAACACTGTGACTCCAGAGACCAGCAGAGGGGTTCCAGCAGCAACCCCAGGGTAGAGGAGAGGAGTGGAGAGGAAAGCCTGGGGGTTGAGCCTG